TTCGGGACAGAGCTCCGTTCAATTTCATATTTTATGTGAAGTTGGACTTAGTCGTTTTTCAAGGAAATATTTTTGGACTTTGACAATTTTCAGTAGAAAGTTGTTGGGACTTTGAATATTTCTCGAGGCAGATAGGAGATACATAGCTGCACTTTAGTTCAGTGGATGATAACTTGGACATCTACTTGTGATGAAGGATACCTGAGAGGGAAGACTACTACACCGTGATTCTGTAGATGATAACTTGGCCATCTACCCGTGTATTTGTGTAGAGGATACCTCAAGAGGGAATATTCAGTACCGTGTTTGGAGGCAGCATCAAGCCTATACTAGATTTCTGAGCTCTGTCAGTTCAATTTCATGAACACATGAAATTGGACTTTGCGTATTTTTGAGATAGAAATATTTGAACTTAGTCAATATTTGGAGAAACATTATTTTGGACTTTGTTTTTTTTAGAGAATAAATATTGAACTTAGAATATTTCAATATCAGTATAACTCAACATTAACTAAACTTAGTTATTTTCAAGGGCATATATTTTGACTTGTAATATTTTTGCCTATGTTGTTGTGTGCATGCTATATTTGTAGGTAGCCTGATTATTTAATTGTGAAGGAAGTAGGCTACATGTACTTAGCAGTTGATGCCATGTATTAGATGTTTTTGGACTTAGTAGTTGGAAGATTGGGATAGTTTAACTACAACACATTGAGGAGGATCCAGGAGATAGTCGTTTATAGACTTGATAGTTTGACTTAGATTATTTCACATAATCAAAGTTGAATTATACTACAACACAGTGAGGAGGATCCAGGAGATAGCCATTTCCAGAGCCGATAGTTTGACTTAGATTATTTCGCATAATCAAAGTTGAATTATCCTACAGCACAGTGAGGAGGATCCAGGAGATAGCCATTTACAGAGCCGATAGTTTGACTTAGATTATTTTGCATAATCAAAGTTGAATTATCCTACAACACAGTGAGGAGGATCCAGGAGATAGCCATTTACAGAGCCGATAGTTTGACTTAGATTATTTTGCATAATCAAAGTTGAATTATCCTACAACACAGTGAGGAGGATCCAAGAGATAGCCATTTACAGAGCCGATAGTTTGACTTAGATTATTACACATAATCAAAGTTGAATTATACTACAACACAGTGGAGGATACTGCAACAACGTGAAGAGAATCAGTATTTTCAGTGGAAGCAAGACACAAGACAGTTGCTGAGTTTACAGTGGATGGAACTGGATATCCCCTTCATCATCTTGGTCGTGGGTGGAATTTTATTTGTACTTTTATGTTTGATGTTAGTCATATGCTCCCAGGTGTGTATTAAGATTCAAGACGAAGAAGCGCCTATTCCAGCAGTTCCAATACCCCCTACGCCAACCCCTGCTTTAAAATCCACACCAAGCTTCAGCATGAGTACTATGAATTTTGTGTAAAGTCGCTTCCCAGAATTAGGAGACAAGACTTTGTTACTCTCAGCTTACTATTCCAGGTTCAAGATACAATAACAATACAAGACGTACAAGTGGTACAATTTACATGAACTTTGCATATTCGGAATACAACAGTGTTATATAGTGATCATCAGTTTCAATGGACTCTGGATATTATTTTATCAGTGATAATTATTATTAGCTCATATGGACTTTTGAGTTGTGAGTTTTGAGAGAAATAATGAAATAATAACACCGTAATATTCTTACATTACATTTGAAATTGCATGTACATCTTATTTGGGCTTATAAACGCCACAATATATTGTTTTATATTATATATATAAAATTGTATATTTTGTTTATTTCTTTAGGGACAAAGCACATTTAACGTGTGCCGTGCAATCCACAAGTAAACACCGTTTACTAAACAGTGGTCTTTTTATTAGCCACACTACCACATATCCACAAAAAAGGCCAAACTGTTACAAATGTTATTGGTCTATAATTCGTAATATTAGTTTTGTCATTTTTCTTGAATATTGGGCAGACGCTTCCAGTCTTCCAACAATTTGGAAATGTTTTATTTGTAAGAAGTTTATTAAAAAGTATTGATAGTGGTCTTGAAATTGTATGAGCAGTTAGTTTAAGCATCCTGTTTGTAATCTTATTTGGTCCAAAAGATTTAGAAGGATCAAGTTGCAGTATAAATTTCATGATTTCAAATTGATCAGTTTTAGCTGAAATGAGAAGAGAGTTTGTTCTAAGAGGAAAGACAGGTAGTGGTCTATCATTTATGTCATCATGGTTTTTATTAACAAAAAATGTCAAAAAGGCATTAGCCTTTTCTAAATTACTTGTAAGAGGTGCACCAGTATTAGGGTCAAGAATGGTTGGAATGCCAGATGAATTAAATTTTTTACCCAGAAATGATCTAATTATTTTCCAATAACTTTTGTCATTTTTACTTAGATTGTCAATAGTATTTAGAAGTTGTTTTTCATGAGAAAGTTTTGCTTCTTTGATAAGACTTGTCACAAGCATGGCCTGCTTAAAATATTGAGATTTATTAATATCTGTTGGAGATTTTGTCATTTTTTTATACAGTCGTTGCTTTTTGTTTATTTCCAATTTCAGATGTTCATTTATCCACGGCTGGTCATTTGAACGAATCTTGATCGATTTATTTGGAATATGCTGCTGGTAGATACTCATCAGCTTGTCAATAAAGTTAACCGTAACATTGTTTAAGTCTAAGTTGTCATTCAAAATAGACGCCCAGTCGGTTTCCCTGATACAGTTATTTAAATTTTCAATGTTAGTTTCATCATATTTCCAAATAATTTTATTAAGAGGTGGGGACTTAGGAACCCTGATATTAATATTTGCTAAGACTGTGCTATGGTCAGACCCACCAATTGGGTCTTCTATAGTCCAGCTATTAAAGATATCTGGTGAATCTGTTATAATATGGTCAATACATGAAGTAGAATTTTTGGATATTCTTGTAGGTTTGTCTACAAGTTGAGAAAAGTTAAACCATCAATGGCCTCAAGAAGTTTGACTCCTGCTAGATTTTCATCTTGATTATCAAACCAAATCGAATGTTTAGCATTAAGGTCTCCCATAATAACCACATGGTCATACTTGGGGACATGATCGTCAATTTTTTGAAGGAGTTGTGTAAAGTAATTAAAGTATTGACGGGTTAAAGTTCAGCAGTTTGGCTAGGTGATCTATAACAGACTCCCATTAGAATCTTTTTATTGTTGAAGCTGCATTCGGTAAACAGACAATCTAATCCATCAATATAAAATTCCGGAGGAAGTGCTTTAGAAGCAATTTGATTATGTGTATAAATTATAAGGCCTCTCCCATGATCTGAGTAAAGAGAGTTGTAATTTTCAATTTCATAGTTACCAGAATCTTTGTGGAGCTGATTGAATGTATCCTTTGCATAGCAAGTATATATTATGCATGCCATTGTAGGTCAGGATTCAAGTTAAGCAATCCTTAAAATAAGCCAGCATCAAACATCACAAATGAGACATATTCAATCCAAGTTATTCAATAAGATGTTTCAATTGGTGTCCAAGTTAAACACAAGTCTAACAACATGACAATCATTTTTGTTACCTCAGTATCCAATGTAGATAAAGGCCTAAATAAGCAAGTCTAAATTCAATTTGCATTTTAAATAAGGTTAAATGGATGGACAATATGTTAGACAAAGGTAACAAATGAAACTGTTTATAAGGTCATATGGTGAAAAGGCATTTTGGGAAAACATGACTTCTTGGGAATAAGGACAATACTCTAAGAGCGAGGAGGCAAATTCTTAATAAATGGAGTATACATGTAGTTGGTTTGGCAGCATTTTCAGTTAGAGGGAAGTCTTGGATGAAATTTTTACCTAGGTGATAGCTTCACAGAGTGGTACACAATTCTTTTTTTCAGGGGTTAGCCCCCCACCACCAAAAAACACCCCTTACAATACTTATTCCTGAAAGAAAATTCAGATGATTTTACCATTTTTAGACAAAACATGTAAAATTGGTTGTCTTATATGCTTTTTTGAAAAGCTGTAATTATAATGAAAAGGTCCATGTGCAGTATGGCAAGTGATTTTAGACGTAGACAGTCATATCTTTCACCATGAGTATTTTCTGGGTATAAATACAGTGGTTTTTATTAAAACAATATATTTTCTTGAAAGTGAAGTCCCCATGATAGTAAAATATCAATCCAACTCTCTGAAAAATTATGCATTAGGACCCCACCTTGTCACCTTTTGTAAAAATGTAAGGTTTATCTTCTAAAAAGAGGATCTTGTTTTTCTCAATTTAAATGTCTCAAAAGTTTTTTCTACACTATATTAATAACTTCTGAAAAGGGATAGGTATTGAAACGTGATGAAGTTAAAAACCACATTTCCCATGTTATTTTCCAATAGGGAAAACTCATGCTATCCAATGTTTTCAGCATGATTTTGGTCATCGAAGATTGATATCTTCAAAACGAGACTTTCAATACCATTCTACTTTTGAAGATGTTTTAGACCCATTGTTGAATAATGTTTTCATGCAATAAAAATCAGAAAAAGAAGATCCTCTTTTAAGCAAATAAGTTCAACATTTTGAAAAAAAATTTCACGTGAGGTCCTATTCATAATTTTTTGAATTGTTCGATTGATATTTTTATCATCATAGGAACTTCACTTGAAAGAAAACATATTGTTTTAATAAAAAACACTGTATTATGCCCAAAAAGTACTCATGGTCAAAGATATGACTGTCTTAAATCACTTGCCATACTGCACATGGACCTTTATTATAATTTAAGCAAAATATTTTGTATGTTAGGAATGCTTTAAACTTTATATTGTGAAAATTTCATGAAAAATTATTGCGAATCAAAAGTTATGAGGAAAAAACAGAGGAGTGACTTGTTCTGTCCCCAATACTAGTCCATGTATGTCTTTATTTCCCCTATTGTTGGTTGTGTTTAGTTTGTATATATGTGATATCTCTATGCAATTGTTAACTTACCGAATCTATGAGAATTGATGCACCAGCCCTAGACTCCTGGTCCTGTCCAACCTCTATAGTGATGCTGTAGTTAGAGCTGGCCTTCAGGCACACATTGCCAAAGTCTATGGATGTAGCTAAAACACAATAGTTCTCTCAAATATTAGAAAACATGAGGTTTATTGGGATAAAATATGCTATTATAATTCCATTGAAAAGCCATAAAAATACAAAAATAGCTCCACGACTTTTCAATTTACAGCAAAAATAGTGAAATAATGTTTAACAGCCACCACTTTTTGAGATGCCTTCCATGTTTTTTTGAAAAAATTGAACCAAAACATATCCTGTATAATTGTTTTGCATTTAAAACATTAATATTACAATTTTCAATATTCAATAGAATCCTACAAGAAGGAAATCCCAACAAGAATATAATACACTTCTCACCAGATAAGGCTATCAGCATAGACTTATCCATATCTTGGGTTGTTGCTCCATCATATGATGTCCCCCCACATGTATATGGCTCAGGAACCAGCAAAGCAGTTACAACTTTCACTGCAGGGAAGTTCGAGGAAGTCTGAAATTAAAAGTCCAAAAAATGAGACTAGTATACCAAATACTGAATGCAATGCACAAGTCACTGCACTGTCAAAGGTTCTCTACAGTTTATGTGATGAATTTATTTACGGAAATAATTAGAATAATTAGAGATAAGAGATAACTACGTGGAAGTTGATGAGCAAATAATCTGTTAAAATATCTTGTACAAAAAAGTTCTACAAAACAATTTTCTCTTCACTTATTCTGTGTATAAAATTATTATCTAAAAGCATTCAACCGCACTGGCGGATTAGGGGGGGGGGGGGGCCCAGGGTGGGCCCAGAAAAAAAAAATTGGGCCCAAAAAAATTTTTGGGCCAAACAAGGCCTTCAGGCCCCAAAAAGTGGGCCTTTTTGGTCATTACTGGGCCTTTTAAGGCCTTATTTGTTAATTTCAGGCCAAATTTTGAAGAAAATGGGCCTCAAAATTTCAAAATTTTTTTCCGCGCAAGCGCGGACGTTTTTTCTCTGACCTGAAATTTGGGCCCCACCCTTGTTGGTTCCTGGATCTGCCCCTGCCAACCCAGAAAGAAATTGAAGAGTATAAAATACAGAGTTTAACTAATGGACTTATTAATTGAAATATTGTTAATTTTTAATGACAGACACAAAGATTACAAGCTGCTTACCTCATATCTCACAATGACTTGGTACAGTTGTGTCTTACATGTAGGCACAGACACAAAGAATACAATCTGCTTACCTCATATCTCACAATGACTTGGTACAGTTGTGTCTTAGGTACAGACACAAAGAATACAAGTTGACTGTTAGGATGAATCTCCAAAAAGCCAGTTCCAGATACCTTGCCATCCATCTCTCCGTGGCCTTCTACTTCTATGATTGGAGAGAATGTCTGTAAAAATAAACTTCATGTACTTTAATAACAACAGTACAAGACAAAAAAAAGAAATGAAATGAATTATGAATGTTTTTTGATTGGGTGAAAGCAAATAATTTAGCTCTAAATGTGGAAAACAATATTTATGATATTTATTGAAGGAAAAGATCCTAAAAACAATATTATCACTCTCAAAATTAACAAGAACTCCAACAAATCCCTCCTTTACATGTATATCAATTCTTCTCGTCTCATCAAATAATGTGATACTGCTTCCTAGTAAGGTAAGTGTACACATGTATTCATGTCTGGTAATTAAACCAATTTTCAATTATACCATGTAGCTAGATAGACCACCTCACCTGCGCATCTGGTATAAACTCTGCTTCAAACCTGAAATGGTCCAGTCTGGGTATATAGTACCCTGGAACAGGCTGTCTACAATCACGCCCTATGAAAACAAAGGTGAGAGCAATTTTCTAATGTAAATCAATGTAATATCATGAAGTTCTGTTTCTGTTAACTTAACATCCATATAAGTGTTTTCCAACAATAAAATTATTTCACGAATTTAAATGCCAGGTTTAATTCACATATAAAGATATAAATATCATCTGCTGGATAAACCGCCATATGCCAATGAACAATAATATGAAGAATGTAGGAAGAAATCTTACCTGTAAGATATTGTTTGCATGTACAAGTACCAATGGTTTCATGACATGTTGTGTCTTCTGATGCCCCTGGGTCACAGTCACATGGGTCACATCCATCAGGATTAGAAATTGTAAGGTTGAATGCTCCAGGCTACAAAATTAAACACAGAATAAAGTGTGCCTCATTATTTTTGGTCCTGTATTCCTTGTTAATGAAAAATCCTGAAAAGATTACACATTTCTTCTCAAAATATTAGGATATTAGCCTAGACATCACTACTTTGGACTCACTGCTACACAGTGACCAATGAGAATATTGATTGAATTTAAACATTATAATGTTTATAGATTAACAAGATTGTTATTATTCTGTATATACAAATGTACCTTGCACTCTGAGCATTTTCTCCCCTCGGTGTTACTCTTACATATACATGTCCCTGTATGTTTGTCACAGAGATTAGAGCTATTGTAGGTCCCTACAGGGTCACAGTCACATACTAAAGTAAAAACAACATAAACTTGCCAGAGAAACTTTTTACTAGGTAAATTAATATCACTTACCAATTATGTCATTACAATATGCTAAAAGCTACCATAGTCACCTTTTATTGGTAGATATGTGATGACATAATAGGTAAGTATAATTAACTTATAAAAACCAAAATTACATAAAATTTGGGGAATTCTTGTATCAGGGGCATATAGTCAAGATCCACACATGATAAGTGAAGTAAATTTAAAATGGCAAGGCAAAAATAAGTTAGAGAATATAACACTTCTGTATACGTTTGTAAAAGAAATGTAAGTGTTGCTTTACCTTTGCAACCATCTGGGTCCTCCAGAGCTAGGTTCCAGTGAAAATCTTTACAAACATCACATGCCCTTCCTTCAACATTCTGCTTGCACTCACACTGGCCTTATGCAAAACAAGGTGAGAATTACAATGTATACAATGTATATCACATTCTACCCTGCGTGCAGAGTCTAGTTAAGACGAAGCTCTCTTTTAAGAAGTGAAGTCAAACGAATGCAAAGGGTAATCACATTCCTGAAGCAATCTTAAACCTTAATGTTCATCTTGCATGATTAGGATTTTGCCAGGACGCAAAACAAAGAATACGCACCTGTTGAATTCTGACAGTTATATGAGCTTGATGCTAGAGAACCTGCTCTACTACAGTTGCAAGCTGAAACATAACATGAAAAAAATTGTTAAAATAAATTACAATTACTACTGTAATAATAAATATTCAAATTAATCAATTCATATGTACAATAAAATAGTCCATGTACTTCTATTCTGCTATTTGAATTTTACACCACCACCTACTGGTAAAATGTATTAAACTACTTACGAACGCACCACAATCCGCAATTATATGCTAATTCAGAAACAACAAAAATAATAATTATTATTCGTATAAACCTAATGTAAAAATTGTAAACGTATTTGCAGTTACATGTAAACTACAAAGTGTGTATCGGATTGGATTCTTTATACCTGTGAATATAATTATTAATTGTTACAATATATTAATACTTTATGACAGAATCAGTTTATCAGTTATCTCCTTAAAATGCCATTATTTTTTTTATTTTACCAGCACCACTGCCACCATAAATAGAATAAATAGAGATTATCCTATATGAGGTTCAGGATATTGGGAATTTATATTGGCCAAGGGATAATCCCAATATCCTGAACCGACTATAGGATAATATGTTTATCCCATACCAATCTTGGTCATCTGGTTCACATTGTTCAATCGTGAAAATATTTTAGAATATTCATGTCCAGTTTTGTTTTCTTGGCCATGGGCGGATTTTCCTGTTCTCTCAAATATTCCCACATTTATTTTCTCGAATTTTTTGATTGATTAAGTGGATGCTCCTTCCCTTTTTAAACCATCAAACAGATCCCGATAGTCTGTGTTTTCTCCATTGTCGTTTACAGTCATTACGCGAACGTTACAAATTATGAACAAATATGCGAGCGGCGATTATGACGTAGCGGGCATGTATCTGCCTGCTCGAAGCGGGACGTAAAGCTATATCTGCCCGCTGATGAAAATATAAGATTTTATAAACCGGCTTTATGTACCTGTAACACGTCCAAGTATGGGATAAATAGAACTACATGCACCCAGCTGTAATGAATATAACCCGAACCAATATCTTATGAAAACTAATAAAATACTAAATACTTCAATAGCGTAACCAAATACCCAATAGACAGGCAGCCTAAAAATCTATATCATTTCCATGATTCTTACCCAACATGACACCTGGTGATTGATTATGGAACTAACTACAAGCAAGTAATTTGCCCACCAACTATATTTGGATGGGGGGGGGGTAGAAACTTCTAGCAAAAGCTTACTGTCAATTGTTTCTCCCGAGGCATAACCTAATATTAACAAAAATGTAAATACAAATACATGTATGTACATCGCGATATAGCTGCGCCCCCACCAGAATGATGCATGCAGCATATTGACAACAAAATCAGTGTCAATGTCTCATTAATAGAATCCATCTTAATTATTTAAAACTTTTGACAATTTTTTCCAATTGGAATACATTTTGTCCACTGGGTAATAAGCTTGTTTGGAATTATAAAGAACAAGCTAATATATCCTTTATTCGCAACTGTTATATTTTCACTGATGTCTAATTCAAACCATCTGCTAATGATTAAACATACAAGTTAAAATTCAATTTTCTTTGTTTCAAATGAATGTACATCACCTTCTTTCAATTGTAGATTCTTTTCAAGAAAGAAATAATACGCAATAAAAGGTATGGTTCATAGATTATTTTACATTCTAATCAATATTCAATATTTAAACATTCCCCAGCAGTTGAAGAAACATTGATTTATACACCTGTTTTTACTGTTTCACATATTACTTATAATTAAACACTTATTCAGATGCGTAAAAAGTATTTTGAAGCATAAACATATTTTTACTCTAAACTGAAACAATAATGCAAAACAATAATAAAATAAGAAAACATATACATAATGAAAATGATGTTTTACCAAGGCTGGTTTTTTACCATCAACTATTCCACTATTATTATTTTTAATGATATTTTATTTATGTTTATTTCTGATGTTATTTGTTGAATATTATTATTTGAAGATTGAATCACAGGGATTAAGCAAGCAACTCAAAAACTTGTCTTAGGTAGCATTCACGAATTCAACTGCCGGTCGATGGCTGACGGATTAACCTACTATTTTATGGCCATATGAATAGTATCAGTCACTATTCCATTCATATTTAAATGAAATAAATAATGCTTTTGTACAGCATAATAAACAAAGGTCTTGTTCTGATTTCTTTCTTTTCACCTTCCACACATAAAATTGCTTGCAGTTCTATTTTTCATTGCATTTGCAATCTGGGATTATAATATTTGATAATAATAATATCAATTTCATTAAGAAAGTTGATTTTCTATCCAAGGATTACTGACCTTGAGAACAGATTTCCTTCCAACATAATATCCCGCTATTGAGAAACATCCATACAATTCTAATATCGAATCAATAAATTGAAATTGAATTAAAATTGGTGTTTGCAAGGTGTGCTGTACTGAACAGCTGGCATCAAGTATTGTTTATGCAGAAAATACTAAAAGGAGAATATCGATTATTGAATTTTTAACTTAACATTAGATGTGGCTCTGGCGGACACATTAATTATCTCTAAACTCCAAGCTACAGTAAAATTTTAAATGTTTGGAACTACTTAGCCTTGCCCAAGTATATTTTATATAATTAGTTTGTTTTGTAGTTAAGCTATCATATCTATGGCCTCTTATATTTTGATGCTTCTCTGCCTGAAACTCCCTAAATTACAAAAGGCCACAGCTTTCAGGCACATTGTACATAACTATCTAAAATATACAAAAGCTAGGACTTGTACATATTTTTCCATTTTTTCATATGCTGTTGCAATATAATCATTTGATTGCTTATTTTTTCAATTCAAAGTTGTTCAAAACATTTAAAATTTTACTGTAGTGATAAGAGGATGGAAGGGGAGATGGAGGCAAAGCTTTAAGGCAGTTGTAATAATATCTAATAAAAAGTATATTTTCTCACCAAGGCAATCTTCAGTGACATTGCCAAAGCTGTCCCAATTGGGATTCACATAGTAGTAATCTACACAGAATTCACATTTATCCCCAGCTGTGTTCAATGAGCAATTCTGACACACCCCATATTCTTTGACGTCATTGTATATACAGGAAGTTGCATGCCCATGGCAACCACAGTCTGAAATCAATATGTTACAAGGTGTTGTAGTAGTATACAATTTTTTAATTTTTTCATTATCAAGTTACACTGAGGATAGATCAATACACTAGTACTGCTATGCTTCCACTTCTTTTGTTAATGCTTTATTTTAACTTGGATATACATATTGCATTATACTGTATCCCAAAACCTTCTATTTTGAGTTTTGAGTTGAGTTTGTATATGTATATACAGGGTGACCCAAGAAAGGAAACATCTTGACTATTTTTTAATCCTTTCATGCGGAGTTACACTAGAAATACAGTGTTACTGTACAGAAATAAAACTAGTTTTTGTAAAACCATTTTTTTATCTAAATATCGCCAAAAACATGCCATGGACAATAAATGCTTACTAGTTCAGTTGTGTGAACTGATCAATTCTGATTTAATTTAAACCTCTGTATACATTAAGTGACAATTGTAATTTTGTTTTATAATAATAACATTAGTCTAGATGGCCTGCAGGGAGCTCTATTCTAAATAAATATATGCTGTGCTGTGATCGTGTTATATTATATTAATAAGCTCATACCTTCACAAGCATTGGACAAGCTCTGAGAATTTATGATGCTACCCATCTTCCAAGGTTTATTGTTGAAGAGTGGAAGACACTCTTCACAGTGTAAGCCCATGGTGTTGTGTTCACACACACACTGGTTTTTGTTCTGAAATGATAGTGTTATCTCGGCATACAAGTACTTGTGATATCTTTAAATTGTACACATTAGGTATGGTCAGAAAGCGTTTCACTTGGAAGATGTTCCAGTTACAAAGGTTTTTTGAAGTTAGTCCATGTATGTAATCAGAGTTTTATATATAATCTATAATGTGTCTATAATTTTCAGATTTACACAAGCACAGAATTATACCAAATTATTAGTTGAGCACGAATAGATATTTTTTATAAAAGGGGATAATTCAGTGACCTACATTTTTAGTACTTTTAAAAAACTTATTGTCATAACTTATTAACCCTCAACTAACCATAAAAGGACATTTATGCACTCTTTATGCAAAATTGAAATCTTGTATTGAATGACGTATTCCACTGACAGAGGTTGATTTAAATTATTTCGAGAACTGGAATTTGGAAAAGTGTTTTACTTGTTTCAGTTAGAGAAGTTCATTTTAGGTTAATGAGGAATGGACCTTTGAAGCGATCCACTTATGATATATGACAAACAGTAATAGTTTCCTGACCTACCTCACCAGTACATTCGCTTGAATGACCGTAACATGCACAAGATGTTTTAAGATCCATGTTTCCAATGGCATAGTAAGACTGCAGAGGCTCAAGAATAGCAGGGGTGTGGAGACGCACCTTCAAGCCATTTGTAACAAAATGTTTTTGAACGGTGTAGCTCGAGAGATATTCATTTTTGAAATCTAAAGCTGGATTAAAGATCACCTGAAATTAAAACAACATGTTTACTTCAGTTTTGTTTGAAATTTTCTTCCAAATCTCCCAATTTCTTTCCATTTTAATTGTGCCTATTTTTCATAGCTCAAAGAAACGTAAATAATGAAAAAATATCCTATTAGACACAGTGTATCGGGAACATATGTAGCAATTGAATGTCAGATATACAGTGCGTATAAAAAAACAAAAGATTGTTATCTCGGAAAAGCACAAAACCAGTGATAACAGCATTGATTTCATTCAATACACCATAAATCCACGTGTCTCCTCTTTACAATGATATATCATTCATTGATATTTGGTCATGGTTGGGCGAGTAATCATTCCATTTGCAAAGTGGGCCAAAATTAGCTTGGGACCAAGTTATAAATATCGTTAAAGTCAGTGTACGGAGCCCAATGCAATATTGGAAGAAAACATAAAACCAATGTTGACTGCATCCTTTTCATTCAATGTACCAAAAAGCTAAATTACTCCTCTCTGCAATGGAATATCATTCATTCACAGAGAGTCTTGGCTGGCCGAATAATCATTAATTTTGCAAAGTGGGGCAAAATTCAGCTCGGACTCAAGTTTAAAACATTGCAAAAGTCAGTACAAGGGGCATAGGGGCTATTGGAAGAAGGTGTGACAGGTGTGACACAGACAGTAAAGTGTTCATACTCATAATCTTGCAAGAATACATCCTATACCCCTCCAAATTGCCACCACTTCCTTGCACATAAAGATGCGCTCATCTGTCCACGTCATGCGTGGTTCAGTCCTGAGTCATCTTTGGGTTAAAGCAAAGAAAAACAGCCTATGGGCAATTCTTTCTCGAGGTTTTGCAATATCTGGTGGAGAATTGTGAGCACAGATGCTCCTGAGATAGCTCCAAAAGAAAAAGTCACAACAATTCAAGTCGGGGGAACTTTCATTGGCACTTAGCCCTTGCACTGATTTTTGCAATATCTAAAACTTGGAGCAGAGCCGATTTAGACCCACTGTGCAAATGGAATGATTTCTCACCCACAAATTACCGCATGTGAATGAATGACATATCATTGCAAAGAGGAGAGACGTGGCTTTATGGTACATTGAATGGAATCGATGTAGTCATCACTAGTTTTGTGATTTTACGAGATAACTACTTGTTGCGTTTTTTTGATACGCCCTGTATATTATGTTGGACTGACATTGTCACCCCTCGATTGTCATGATCATGAAGGTAATCAATTATGCTGCTTAGGGACCACTGAAAAAGACCAATGTATGATAGATAAGTACACTCCTCTCCATTAGTTTGCCAACCCTAACTTCCCCATTGATTTAGATGCTAAAGCCTATTAATGTTTGAATTTTTATTTCCATAATCTGTAAAGAAAGGTCTACGTTTAGGCCTTGAAATACAAATTGACATAGTTTCGAATAACTCCAATTTTTTCAACAATAACAATGGTCGGATATTGATGACAAATCTTATGAAGTTTTGAAAATCGACATTTCCATGTTAAACCAATTGGAACTAAGGGATTTGTCGCAAGTTATGTGACAGAATATCCATCTATCTGAATTCTCGCAAAAATACAAGTCAGGTAAAAAAAGGTTAACTTTGTTTAACAAAAATGATACGTTTCTTCATGTTCAACAACGTTATAGGTCTCCAAACTGCCAAAGTCAAAATTATTTTTCAAAAAAACCTCCAATTAAAATAACAAAGGGGGCGAAAAATGATTTTCCAAAAATGACTTTGAAGCTTTGTAACTTTAGCGTTAACAAGGTAAACTTAACACTTAGCGGCAAAAAAGTTAGACAACTTGTCTAACTTTTTTTGCCGCTAAGTGTTAAGTTTACCTTTACCTTGGTTAAAATGAATGATTCATTTTTCTATATAAAATATTTTTTTGGTGAAGCATTTATTGAATAGATATCCAGAAATCTGATTTGCCTCGAACCCACCATTTCTCATTGGTTAACATGGGAATGACAATTTGCAAAAAGTCAGCAAATTTGTCATCAATTTTCGACCTGTTGTAATTGAGAAAAATTGGGAAAATTTAGAGGTATTGTAAATGAAGTCAAGTTACATTTACATTACATTAAGTTTCAGATACCAAGTCTTCCCTCCAGTCTGACTAATTGTGAGAAATGTTGAAACACGTAGCATTTTTGAGAAATATTTAAACATTACAGGCAGACGGGTTGTTAATAATATTGTGCATTTCATATATAATGATTAGAATTAAATGCTAGTGCCCCCACTATTTCCCTCAAGATTGGCACAATTTGACTCATACATTTACTACCGTCTCATTCATGATATCAATGTCGGCAGGGTTAAACTATTTTGGGCATACATTTACATCTGCTCCTCAACTTAAAATGAAGTTCACAATCCAACATTGACTTTTTGCAGTCATTTATTGGATATCTAACTGCTGAAACAATGTAACATTTAGGGTGCTATTATATGCCACTTTTTTCAAACCTCTAGCCATAGGCAGAACCCTAATAAGTATTAAAATTCCTTATTCCTGATAAGTATTGAAATTCCTTGGATCCAACTATTACCTGTTGAATATAAGAGAGCTCTTTTTGAGTGTGTGTATCTCCTTTGAAATAAGTCTGCATACACACGGCAGTTGTTGCACTGAAGCTAGGACCATTGCTCTCCTGAAGAGTCACTCCAGGGAATGAAAGTGTACAATCCTCTGCATAGTAACGTAATGGTACCCATTCTGTACCATTAAGCTTTTCAACAACCATTGCTTTTGGACGCATATCAGACATTAAACTTCCTGTGATATGTGGACTGATGAAAACAAGCTTGAGTGAATGGAAGACAAAATTATCAGATAAAGTAAGGACTATGGTCTGCTCGTCAGCAACATCTCCCTCATTAGAGACAGTATTATTGGATTGCCAGTAGGTATCTAGCACTGGGTCCATCACTTCCACATTTTCTCCATATGTGGATAATTTAGTATCATACAATCCAGGCAGTGGGTGATTAAATCCTTCTGTTGAGTTACATATAAAGTTGTTATCATCGAAAGTGTCCCCAAAAGCTTTTCTATAAACACTTGGATTTGGATCACCACACACAGATGATACACTGATGACACGAGAATCCATTTTGTCTATTTCTGCAAGGACATTTTCCAAAGGAGGATAGCAAGCTTTTATTGGAGAACATATTTGTCCAACTATGGTTTGCAAAAATGATGCAAAAAGAAACAGATATAGTTTTCTATTTGTTTGCATTGTTATATTTTCATATATTGTTTATTCAAATTAATAGTCCTCATTAATCCTTTAACGCTTAAATCCGCACTAAATGATGTTTGATATTTAATATATGTATTCCACAATTGCGAACAGCACCTCACTGAATCATTATTGCTGTGCAATCTGACGCAGTCATATTAACGTGTTCTGCTATACTTGTAGGCTTGCTATTGATTATCTTGAAATGATTAATACATTCTTTTTATACACGAACCCTTCACAGCTATACGGTACCTGTAATATTCAATTGGTTTACAATTTATCTGATGAAAAAAATCAAAATATGTTGGCTAATAATATTATATGAGAAATACACAGTCAACACTATTTATATTAAGACTTTTATTGCAGGGGGTTTGTAGAAAAAACCGGGTACCGGGTAGTAAATCATCCATGCTTGGTTCAAACTTGGTACCCGGTACCCGGTCGAAAAAACCGGGTAACAAAAAACGAAAAATACGAATATATAACATAATTCGATCATTAGAAAACGTGTAAGATTTGTTTTGAATTCACAAAAAATGTATGTAACTTCCTTCAAAATTGAGCTAGAAGCTTCAAATAAAAAGCATTTTAAGGCTCTGTTCTTCCTCTATCATCATGGTCATATATTCATTGGTTATGGGGGGAGGGTGCGATCGCAACATCGAACCCCCTCCTGGGTACGCCTATGACATTGTAAGACGGATTTGAAAAACATGACAAATCAATCTTACTCTATCTTCAATAGTTCGTATGTTGGTACTTAAGTACTTGTGACCAAATGGATGTCGGAAATGATGTAGCTGATACTGTACGTATCATAACACAGTATAGTTAGAATTAACAGTAATGGTGACCATACTGATATCTTTAAATGTGAGAGGGGGGTTAAACAGGGGGACCCACTCAGTCCATTAATGTTTAATATTTACATCAATGATGTTGTTGAAGAATTAACACTTGAATCAGACTTAAAATTACAAAAACAAAAAATAAGTTGCCTGCTATTTGCAGATGATTTAGCCATAATTACTGCAAATAAAACTGATATGGACATAAAATTGAAAAAATTAAACAATTATTGTAAACAATGGAACTTAGATATCAATACTGATAAAACTAAAATTGTAATGTTTAATAAAAGTGGTAAACGATGTAATGATATATTCTACATTGGGGACCAGGTAATTGAAAACGTATCAAAGTATACTTATTTTGGTATGGGATTCCATGCCAACGGATCGATGAAACAAGCTGCAATCTTTATGAAAGAAAAGGCAGAAAAGGCGAAATTCAAATTGATAAGTATGCTTACACATGGTGATATAAACCTAACTTTGTGCCTGAAATTATTTGATATATTAGTAAAACCAATTTTATTATATGGATGTGAAATCTGGGGTGCTGGTTTAATATTTAATAAAGATCTTCTGAAAAATAAAGATTTTGGCCTTGAAATGAAATATGACAAGTCACTTTCACCGGAATTACTACATCTATCTTTTTTGAAGTTTCTAGGGGTGCATAGAAAAACGAGTAATTTAGCTAAGATGGGTGAGTTAGGTAGATTCCCTCTGTTTATCAATATATTTTACCAACAACAAGGAGGATTGGCTCCCAGGATCGAAACTCGATATTTTCCAACAATGAAAACGTCGAAATGTCGTTATTTTCTGAAATTAAAACCGACTATAAATTCAAAATAAACAGTTCAAAAGATTCGAACCAATATCTCGATAGTTTCTTGTGAGTTTTGGAATTTTTCGGTTGGAAATAAGACCAAAATTCACGATTTAAATGTTGAAGTGAACAAAATGGCGGCTGTTTGAATTCGAATTTTGTATTACGACATACCCATATATGGGACAGAATATCGGTGGTGCACTCTGGGAGCCAATCCTCCTTGACCAACAAGTTAAATACTTAGATCATATAGAAAATGAAGGAACGAGTTCATTACTAATTAATGCATATGCAGATAGTATTGAACTATCAAAAGTTCATAATCAACCATCATGGTACTATGACATTGATAGAATAATGGCATATGTTCAACCACAAGATAAAAATTACATTAATAGCAAACCGCTTGATATTAAGAAAATCCTTGAAAAAAGATATATAAAATATTGGGAAAAAACTGTCAATGATAATAAAGGGAAATTAGAATTTTTGAATAATATCAAACAACGATGGGGAAAAGAACCATATTTGAATTTAATAAAGAACGCTGAACATAGGAAATCTATGACGCGATTAAGAATAAGTGCACACAATTTAGAAATAGAGCGAGGAAGATATACAAGACCAATTATTCCGAGAGATCAAAGAAAATGCAAATTATGTAAAATCAACACTGGAACGGAAACTCATTTTATTTTTGAGTGCAAAAAATTGGAAAAAATGAGATATGAATACTTTGATACGTTTAACTCGATTTGCCCAAATCTAACTGTATTGACTACCGAAGAAAAGGCTTATTATATGTTTAATGCTGAGGGTAACATGTGTATCACCTTTGCAAAATACCTTTATGAAATAATTGAAAAGAGATCAACTATATTATCAATATAAATATATACATGTAGGCTAATAGTAGTTGTTGGTATATATCTTATGATCAGTCAATCACATTATATTGTCATTATATGACATGTAAAATTTGCATTGTATGTTATTGTAATTGTATGTATAGTTTTAGTTTTATTTTATCATGTTTATTTGCTGTACACTCACCCGAAAGGGATTTTTAACTATGATAAAGGTCATTGCAAGCCAATTGTATGATGGGAACCATATTTATTGTAATATTTCTAGAATGGCCCAGGAGCCCATATTTGATACAGTTACTCTTATTTGTTACACTCCCCTCCATAAGTTTGGCAACCATAGCTCCCCTATTGAACTACGTGTTAAAGCTTTTAATTGTTCTGGAAATGTTTGATATTTTTCATTTTAATTGGAAATGCTTTTTCATATGCAGTTGAAATTTGACTTGAAAACAAGGAATATGCAATATTTGGGTTGTCACAGTTATAAACACCATCCCAGTTAATATCACTATGTTGATTTTTGAAATTACTAATAGTTTTTTCATTAATTTATCTGAATCTGATTTCCTTGTCTCGCAGAAATTTGACTATCTGTTCACTAATTGAAAAATGGGTAAATGATCAGTTGTAGAGTCTACTATCATACCTGCTGGTACATTTGTATTATCTATTAAAGTTGCAGTATGAGATGTTATTCGAGTTGGTTTGTAAATGAGAGGGAATAAATTATGAGAGAATAACATGTTAATATAGTCATGAGAAGAATTGTTTTGTAGTGACACATCAAGCGGTAATACTCTCTCCAAAACAAATAATTCGAAATTGCAGCTGTTTCACAGCACAAACATTCATTCAATATTGGGGATCAAGATGACCTATCAATACGAATTATATTTGTATTTTTAAAGTTGAAGGTTTCTGTGTGATTTATACAAAATGGGAAACATTAAACAAAAATGTGCTACCTCTAAATAAGCGGTGCGGATATCCATGGATATCTGTAAAGTGACGGATAAATATTTCCAATTTTTAAAAAATTCAAACATTAAGTTTATGACTTTCAAAATGCAAAAATAATTATTATTGATTGGTCATCTCGATCACCAATTCTGAATGAAGGCTGTAAAATGTTTAGTAAAGCAGCAATTTTAAATTATTTGATATGGAGCAAGGATGAATGCCTAGTGCGTCATTAAAGAATGAAGAATACAACTATAGACAGAATGTCGCTTTTATTAGGTCTCCTATACAAATGGACTATAATTGAGTACCCAACATGCCTTAGTTTATGAAATATCACAAATTCAAATTCAAAAATGACCGTTAATATCCGCACCTTGCGCACATGATATCCGCACCGCTTATTTTGGTATAGCACAGTCTGTATAGGGTGTAGTTGAGTACCTTAAGCTTTAGTTATACATTTGAGATGGCCCCTTGTACATGTTGTAGTACATACCCTCCATACCTTTATGCATATGAAGTACAGCTGTAATAGACAAACTTACTCCCTGACTTGCATACTTTTGGTTTTTGTTTACACCATGTTAAATTTTCATTGGAATTATATTTTCTAGTTTTAAAAATTAAATCAACAGAAGAAAAATTATTAATTAAATCACAAATTCATTTGGGACACAGGCATTCTGTTTGCAAGATCCTGTATGTGGATAAAAAATTTTAATTGCAAAAATGCTCATTTCTAATGCATTCAGGCCAAGGGGGAGGGGTCACTTTTTGAAAAATTCCAGGGAGTTCACTTGTGACAATTTTGGTCCAAAAAGGGCCAAAATCACTTAAAAAGTGCTCAGAATGGTGAAAGCTGCATGATATCGAACCCATCGACCCCCCTTGGCTACGGGCCTAGCATTGACATAGACTATGTTTTATTTACTGTGTGGTCTAAGGTAAATAGACAAAAACTGGGAGTATTTGTATGAATGATTACTTGCCTTTTGATCCATAACACAAACAGTGTACTGTGCTTGTACAGTTTATAGATTAGTTGTATTCAAAGTTGCCCGAATACTTTACAAGGTTACAAGAATGGCTGGAGAATCGACTTCTAAAAAGGTTAGTAGATCTTTTATCCCACCAAGTATATTTCTATTTTGCAATGCAAAATGTCATGATAAATAAGACAACTTCCCGGCTTTGTATAAAAAGGTCGAACCCACGTAAAGGTACGTTCACACCAACGGCGCTTTGATGGCGCTTTAGAGTTGCTTGTAAAGCGGCACCAAAGCGTTACAAAGCTTGATTAAAGCGTCGGGGTCGTAATAGGTCGTAGAAAAGCTCGGAGTAAAGCGGGATATTCGGCAAGAGCGCCAAACATTTTTAAAGCTACTTTCACACCAACGGCGAATGCCACGCTTTAAATCGGCGAGCAAAGCGCTGTCATTTATGTTTACTTTTCCAAAAATATCACGATCTCCTAAGTAATGTTACGCTCTGATAAGCTCTGATACGCTCTAATTTCCCGACTTGTTACGGTTCCTGACGCTATGATCCCGCTTCGACCAGGCTTTGTTACGCTTAAAATCACGTTTTGATAAGCTTTGGTAAGCATTATTACGCTTTGATGCGATTATGACGCTTTAATCAGGCTCTGATACGATTGCCAAGCTCTGTTGTGAATTTTCGAGATCGCCTTTATCATGACGCTTTTGATCAAATGGCTGTATAAAGATGCAGTAGATCCATAAAACCATTGCATCTGTGACTCGAGAAGACGATGGCAGAACAACAAGATCCAGAATTTCCAGATGGACGAGATCATGACCTATCTGAAGAAGACTTGATGTTTGTCGCACGGCGTGAAAGAGCGTGAGAGAGCGTGAGGAAGCTTGTCAAGCGTAACAAAGCTTAACAAAGCGTTTCAGTCCTTGATTAAAGCGTCTCAATTCGTTAAAAAGCTTGAGAGTCCTTCATGAAAGCGTAACAAAGAGTGTCAGATATTGATGAAAGCGTCTGACCTCGTGTCAGATCTTCATGCCAAATCGTAGCAAAGCTTGAGACATCTAAACGAAGCGTGTCAAGTGGTAACAGACCGTGAAGAGACTGGGGTCCCCGCTTTGAACCAAGCTCTGTTAAGCTTTCCTACGCTTTGGGTCAAGCTTTGCTGAGCTTTGTTACGGTGTGTTAAGCTTTGATACGCTCTCGGCGCTTTAATCAATTCGTAACGGAGCGCCCAAAATTTTTAAACAGTTTAAAAAATTTTGGCGCTCTTGCCGAACATCCCGCTGTACTTCGAGCTTTTCTACGACCTTAAGCTATGTTCACACCAACGGCCAATGCCACGCTTTAAATCGGCGAACAAAACGCCGTCATTTTTGTCATTTTTGTTCATACCAACGGCGCTTTGATGGCGCTTTAAAGCGGCTTGTAAAGCGTAACAAAGCTTGATTAAAGCGGCGGGGTCGTAATAGGTCTTAGAAAAGCTCGGAGTGAAGCGGGATATTCGGCAAGAGCGCCAAAATTTTTTAAACTGTTTAAAAATGTTGGGCGCTCTGTTACGAATTGATTAAAGCGCCGAGAGCGTATCAAGCTGAACAAACCGTAACAAAGCTCAGAAAAGCTTGATCCAAAACGTAGGAAAGCTTAACATAGCTCTGATAGGTTCCTCACGCTTTGATCAGGCGTTGTTACGCTTGAAATCACGCTTTGATAAGCATTATTAAGCCTACGATTTGATGCGATTATGACGCTTTAAATCAGGCTCTGATACGATTGCCGAGCTCTGTTCTGCATTGTTACGCTCTGTTAAGCTCGCCGATTTCATGATATAATGACTATATAAAGATGCAGTAGATCCATAAAACCATTGTATCTTTGACTCGAGAACACGATGGTAGAACAACAAGATCCAGAAATTCCAGATGGTCCAGAGCATAACCTATCTGACCTATCTTTCACGGAGTGAAAGAGCGTGATGGAGCATGAGGAAGCTTGTCAATCGTAACAAAGCCTAACAAAGCGTTTCAATTCTTGATTCAAGCGTCTCAATTTGTTGGAAAGCTTGAGAGTCCTTCATGAAAGCGTAACAAAGAGTGTCAGATATTGATGAAAGCGTCTGACCTCGTGTCAGATCTTCATGCCAGATCGTAGCAAATCTTGAGACATCTTAACGAAGCGTGTAAAGTGGTAACAGACCGTGAATAGACTGGGGTCCCCGCTTTGAACCAAGCTCTGTTAAGCTTTCCTACGCTTTGGGTCAAGCTTTGCTGAGCTTTGTTACGGTTTGTTAAGCTTTGATACGCTCTCGGCGCTTTAATCAATTCGTAACAGAGCGCTCAAAATTTTTAAACGGTTTAAAATTTTTTGGCGCTCTTGCCGAATATCCCGCTTTACTCCGAACTTTTCTAGGACCTATTACGACTCCGACGCTTTAATCAAGCTTTGTTACGCTTTGGTGCCGCTTTACAAGCCGCTTTAAAGCGCCATCAAAGCGCCGTTGGTGCGAACGCTTAAACAGTTTAAATTTTTTAGCGCTCTTGCCGAATATCCCGCTTTACTCCGAGCTTTTCTACAACCCCGACGCTTTAATCAAGCTTCGTTACGCTTTGGTGCCGCTTTACAAGCCGCTTTAAAGCGCCGTCAAAGCGCCGTTGGTGTGAACGTAGCTTTAACGTAACCACATGGTACGTGGGTCATGAGTAACATTGATTTAAGGTACGGCTGGAAAATAACATTTTGGTAAAAAATTACTATACCTGCACATGTTATTTTCTAGTACAAAATAAAGTATGAAGGCATGTGTTAATTTCCTTGCTTTTTTCAGGAAAGTATCATTACATTGTCTTCTTTTGGAATATCTGGTAAGAATTCAATGGGAACTCGAGGAAATCCTGATATTTCACACTTTCTATTTTTCCAAATTTTCTTTCAAAGTTTCCAGACAACACAGGATCGAGCTACCATTGACCTGTTTCCAGATTTACTAAAAGTAGACAATGTAATGATACTTTCCTGAAATAAAGGACCCACGGTCCAGTGCTCACACAGTTTGGAACCTTCAGAGGAATGTATATCCTGACTTTGAAACAAAAATATTGATTTGGATTTGTAGTCTCGAACTTTGAGAAACTTAGATAGCACAGTTGTGTGACCTAGTTTGATGACCTTTGACCTTGAAAATTTTACTTATTCAGACCAGAATTTACATCCAAAAATCAATTTGAAAAATCAACTTTTTTGACCTTTCGAAGGTCAAGTAAAGGTCAAATCCTAAAACCAATGTCAGATTTGAACTCCTGACAACCTGTAGATGATTTTCAAAAAAAAATGGTCAAATTGAAGCAAGTTGAAAAATCCTACTTTTTGTCAAATTTTATAGAGTAAACACCAAAAACTGTAATTCCAAGATCGCTTTGAAATCTTCAGAGGACATAAGTTGCATATACAGCAACTACCACAAGTTATTTGAAAGTTTTACTTCAACAAAGTGGCTAGTATTTACAGAAAATTTGACTTTTTGACGTCAAAATCAGCAATTTCTCGGAAACCGGGCGAACTTGGGAAATGGCGATGATAGGTCAAATAGGCATTATGGAAATGCATAAAATGAATGTGGATATGACTCAATCCGAATAGCAGTTTTAATGGCCAATGTTGACGGACGGACCAACGGACGGACGGACGGACGCCTGGTCGATCCTATAGGCTAACTGTGTGAGCTCAAAAACAAGGAAATGCATACATGCCTTCATACTTAATTTTGTACCAGAAAATAATATGTCCAGTCACCCTTCTGGTTGTGATGCTACATTTCATTGCAGAATTAATTAGTTGAGTATTGTCAGTTTTAATACATAACTTACAAACCACTTGACTAAACCACTTTTCATGGTTTATTGGTGATGTATTAATGATATATTAAGATTTTTTACTTATTTTCTTAGGTAGTGAACAAGCATTTCAATTACTCAATTTTGATGAAGGATAAAATAGCACCTATTTTATATGACTAGACAAATAGTAGATCTATGAGACATGTTGGTCTATGAGTGCATTCATGCATCTACTGGAGATTGAATAATCTTAATTTTAAAAATTGAACCCTTCAAAGATTTATAATGCCCCACCTGAGGCCTTATTCACAATGTGTCGCATCCTATGCGATTGCAATGTCGCAATCGCCATCGCAAAAATCGCTAAAATTCTTATTCACAATCAAAGTGCGATTGCGACTTAGCAATAATAGCGTCATATAATTGACCTTTTGCGATCAGAATTCAGGTATTTTGTTTATGGATACTGTTGTCATGTATTTCGTCTACCCTCTACCAGCCGCAATAAAGTCGCAATATTAAATGGGCACTGAATGTAATCAGTAAGTTTCATCTGTTTCTAGGGTGGTGCAATATGGCTTAAGAACATGTGTGGGATGACAGTCACTGATGCTGAAATGGAGGACATTTCCAATCCCAGACTTGAGCTACTTGTCCATATAAGCACCAAGACCATTCAAATGGGAGCTTTGTTCGGAATGCTGGCAATTGGACCAGTCACTCAACTTGTTAAAGGTCCTCGAACAATACAGGCAATAGCACATAGAGCCCTGAAATATGGCGCAAACGGCACAATAATTGGCGCAGTTGCTGGGCCAGTGATGACATATGGATCATCAACAAAATTTGAATATGAAAATTTTTATGATCGCACCTACAGGCTTCGGTATAACAGGGGACAAGTGATTACAGATCGTATGTGTTATTTTGGTATGGCTATTGGTGCGGGGGCAGGATATGCAACAGGGATTGGAATACTACCTGGGATTGCACTAGGAGTTGTGGTAGGCACAAGTGGAAGTGTATTTGCACCTGGTAAAGGCTGTAGTCAAGACAACAACAAGACTAAGGAATCCGTCCCTGTGAAAACGGAAGATAACAAGGATGCATAAAATACACCTTCAAAACTGACTGTATTTAAAACAAGATACATAACAATGTAAAAGTAAATTCCCTAACCAATGGTATATAATATGACATGTTTTCATCAATAAAAATCAATAAATAAATAAATCAATAAAATCAATATTTATTTTTGAAATACGAGTGTCCCATTTTTTGGACCAGCCTGTATATATATATATTAAGTTATCATTATTATAATGCAGCTGATTAGAAGAGATTAAAATGATATTACAAATAGTGTTTCTCAAGTTTTGTTTGAAGTATGTTACTGTTTTTAGACCCGCATATTACTTTTCTTTCAATAATATCTCCTCAACCGTTTGCTATTTTCCTGAAATCAGATTTTAAATCTTTTTTTTTTGTTTTCAATCTATTTAAAAACCTCTAGAAGATATCCAATTTTAACACGGTTCAATGATATATCTCAGTCCGGCCAATCAGAAAGCAGTATTTGATATATGTCAGTCTTAATATGACATGGAGAATATCCAGCAGATGTGTGCATCTATAATGTGTTCTTTTAGCATCTAAGAGAAAACGTAACCGAGACTTTTGCTAGTGATGTGAACTTACTTTCAATTTTTGACATATAATTTGATGACCTATTGCACTGTTTGGGTTCCATCCATCATTTCCTGTATTTTTGGGGTGGCCCAAATGTGTAGCTTGCGAAATATGTCTTTCATTTAGGGCAAATGGTACAAACCGGAGTGAGGCGTTTTACAACAACCGATCTGTATTACACTACACACCTAAAGCGCCTAACGATTTGAAACGTTTTTTAGTGAATAGGGTTCTAGGAGTTTTGGAAAAGCAATTTTGTAAAACCGCAATCGTGTTTACACCTATTATTCAAACTGGGTTAAACCCAAGGCGCCTTTCTAAAACGCATGGTGTAATTAATCCAGCAAGTATTTGTTGAGTTATCGGAAGTTTTAAGAATTTATTACAGACGCCAACCGCCACCCGCCAATCGCCAACCACCAACCGCCGTCACAAAAACGGAGACCATAACAATATGTCGTACGAATTCATGATCACGGCCCCTGCTCTAGTGATGTTGCATTCAATAATGAAAGGCCCGTCACTAGACATCGCAAAAACCTTTATTCTCTTTGTGACAAGAGGAAAGATGTTTTCCAATAAGTTCTGCCTTACGGCATTTGTGGCACTTTTTATTCATCTGCAAGGTTTAGAAAAACAATCAATTCGCAAAAATACAGTTGAATAACATACTATAAAATGTATTTACATATATCACAATGACACGCAGTATCCCGGGCGCAGTATAAATAACGGAAGGACGATTTTACTGTTCTCATTAAAGACTACTTTTACTTTGCCACCCGTGAAAAAATGTTCATGGTTAAAAATGCATGTTGAAATGGACTTGCACGATGAATGTCAATCTAATTTAAATTGTTTTAAAATTTAAAATTGTTTTTTTGTTTGTTTGTTTGTGTCATTGTTTCGAATTGTAGCTGTTGTTAGATTCGTTGGTAGTTGTAGGAACATCGTCCGATACCTGGAATAAGCAGATTCACAAATCAGATGATGTAGCACAATATCATTTAAACATGTACGCCGTTTGAATGCGTTCCCATGGGAGTGCATCGGGAAAAGAAGACTCGATGGAAAGAAAAACCTGCAGCCTGCACATCTCTTCCAATAAGAGCGCCATTGACAATTATCAATATGCTCATGTTAAAATAATTTTATACATACCTTATTTGTAACACTAGTACTTGAATTGACCAAACTGCGCATCGCAACGCTCAATACAGAGCCCCTGGGATACTCATCTGGGCTGTTTTCAGGCAGTGGAATATCAGTATCATTTTCTTTCACACTTAGCTCAGTATTTCTGTTTACTTCATCTTTATTAGTAGACTGCCCCGTTGACATTGATATACCGCTTTGATTCGATCTCATACTTGTCTTAGAGTCTTTAACTGTCAACGATGTGGCAGACATCTCAACCGATGTCAGAGAGGAACGGACCGACACGACGGAAGTATGGGAGCCGCACACTGATTTCACTGCAACAGGGGCTATTTCAGAATCGTCTCGAGACTGAAAATCGCAATCGTCGTTACGTCCGTCTGTTACCACTGTCACAGGTTTTTTGGAGTACTTCATAGACGTATTTGAACAAGATACCCGATTCAAAGACGATTGTGTATTTGATTTTATAGTTTTTGATGAGCATTTCTCAGAACTTTGGCCGTTAGTTGATTTTATTTTAGATGATTTAGCACTTGGAGTTCTTGATCTTAAAGATGTTTCACTTCGTCTTTTTGTTTGGCTTGTCAATGAGGTTGGTGTTTTCGACGAATTTCTCCTATTACTTTGGCTGCTTATACATTTTCTAGTCGCTGTTGAATCATTAGTTTCATATTGATTGCTAGAGTCATTTAAACTTTCACTGGTGAGCGGTCTCTTACTTTGCGATTGTGGTGTCCTTAATTTCTCACAAGATTCTGACCTAGGCTGATCCAGATTTTTCTCTCTGGAATAAGAATGGCGGTTTGACTTTGAACTTTTTGTGCTTGAGGTTCCAGATGCAGCTATTAATTTTTCTTTACTTGACTTATTCGCAATTGGAATTTGACCGTTTTTAGGCTGTTTTGAAAATATTTTCTTGTGCTCATCTTTCTTGATTTTGAACAGTGCTTTGTCACTTTTTAAAACCAACCCACTCGATGTACTGATTTTATTGCCCATAAGAGGCATTGATGAGGAAATATCTGCCTGTTTGTAAAGTAAAGCACTGGCGTTTGATTTGGTTGTATCAACAGATAATTTGCACTGGGGTTTTTCCTTCGTGAACGTGGCACTTGATTTTGATGATCGTTTTCCCGAAGACGTCTTGGATTGTAATCTTTTAAAACTTTTTGTTCCACTGGCGTATATTTCAGCTGCATTTTTCATTTTTTCCAATGAGGCATTTGAAGTGGTTTTCTTCACGGTGGACTCGGTTGAGTTAGAACTACATTTATTCAATTCCAAAACATTTGTGACAATTTCATTGGCTCCACTGTCCCGCCTAGCCTCGTCAATTGGAATTGGCAGAATGTGTTCCTCCCCAATTATATCTGTCAATTTGTTTAGATCGTTTAGGTTGTGGCTGGAGTTTTTAATCAGTTCATTTCTCAGTCCTGAGGTAGAATGTTCTTTTAAAGATTCCACTTTACTCACATCTGGCTTTATAAGACTCCGAAATGAGTGGCGCTGTGATGGCCCGCTTATAGCTTGCCTCTTGTGGGATATGGCAGACAGTGAATCAGCGATAATAGCAGGGTCGATGTCTACAGGTTTTCCTTTGAATATAGGTTTAATCACTGGAATTTCCTCTGCAAAGTGACTGTCATCGAATAATTTGATTTTTTCATCAGAGACATCTTGTTCGACAATGTTTAATAACTCGTCAGAACTGGAGTCTGCTTTTATGCTGTGATAACTATCCATCAAAGATTCTGTTTGGCTACTTGTCATGGCTCCTATTCGATTGTGCTTCTCAACGCTTTCACGCGTATGAAGTTGGTCCTTTTCTGAGTCACTTGGATGTTGAAGGCATCGAAACGATCTATGTGGAACTGGTCCCTGAACATGAAGCGCATCTTGAGTTCTCATTGAGATATGGGAGAGAGGCTGCTCGTCAAACAATGGCTCAAATTGGTGCTGCTGTATTAGGATTTTATCAATGCTGTCAGTGATTAGATCTTTCGACACAACCTCATCATAGTCGTCACCGTCGCTCGTGTTATCTGACTTAAGATTGTTTAAGGACTCTTGGATCTTGGTTGTTATCTTGTTTACATCGAATTCTGTGACCAAACCATCAGAAACACCCTGCGTTACGTTATCAAGCACTTCCTGTATCATTTCTTCAATCAAAAGTGACGAGTTAGAAGTTTTACTCTCTGTGAGTGCCAGTTCTACCTCATTTGGAGCAAACTCTTGAAGTATTGTTTGCATTGTTTCTTCTATAAACTCCTCAGTCAAAAATGATTCACTTGACTTTGGTGTCATGACTTTCAAAGCTCGAGTCAAGGTTTGCTCAATGAAATCTTCAGTGATTATTGACTCAATAGTTTTAGCCTGAATGTCGGTTTCTTCTAAATCAGACAGGACATTCTCTATCGTTTGCTTCACAAAATATTCAGCCATTAATGATGTGTTTGACTCAGCAGAAAATTTTCTCATTGGACTAACGCACTCCCTGCTTAGTACTGTCGGTTTAATTGCTTCTGCTAATTTGTGAATAGAATCAGCACTTAGCAGTTTACCCTTGATATCTGTTAACACTTTAGACAATGTCTCACGTATCAGTTCCATGGCAAACAGAGACTCAGTTGAAGCAGTTGCCATATCATAATTATCTATAAGTTTGGCCGAACTAGTTCTACTGCTTTTTCCAGAATATGTATGGCCTTCAACAATCGCTACAGTAAGTGCTCTCATATCATCATTACTTATGGTACCGGCCTTAACACTACCAAACACTTTTTCCATGACCTCTTTCACAGCTGCGTTTGCCAGCAGGGAAATTGTGGAGACTCTTTTAACAGGTCTAAATTCAGCACTTTCTCTCCTACTTGCTGTTTCGGAACTTGTGTCACTTGTAGCACCATCAACGATTTCCTTTGCATATTTTGCTATTATTGAGACCTTCTCTGGGTTAAGTTTTCCTGATGCAAGATCTTCCAAAATTCGTCCAAATAGTCTGTTCAGAGACTCTGCAGATACCACTGCCTCCATTGTAGGAGGTCTATCGTCACACGGCGGCTCATACGGGAGACAGGATTGGTGGCTGTGTGTAATGGTTAGAGAATCCTTAGCAACTAGCTTTGCACCAATACCAGTAATTTCAACTTCTTCATCACTCTCCGTGAAGTCATCAAAATAAACATCGTCATCTTCACTGGAGATATCAGTCAGGGATTCACTGTCGAATGCCTTGATATCCAGATTCGGGATCTTGTCTTCAACTACACTGAATCTAACTCCTCTACCACGAGCTGAAATGACATATTTTCCCTTCAAGTATAGTGAATGTCAGACATTCGTTGTCTCAGGTAAGGGTTTTCAGTAAAAGTTGTTTTTTATTTGAGTGAGTCCCATTATTAACCATTGAGAGAGAGACAAAACATAATAGGGAGCCCAGGCTACACGTTTTTAGGAAAACTTGTACCTAAGAGAGCATTGTTCCCTCTCAATTGGGCTTTTAATTTTTGCAAATTACCAATGAAATGTAATCGACACATGTCAGTTGATAGCTTAAACTCCCTAGTTTCTGACGACCTTTATTAGGTGATGTAGATCTTATAATTTACATTACGAAATTGAATTAAATATTTACTTACCAGTGGTAATAAACATGTCATCGTCAGACTCAGCCTCGTTTTCTATAACATTAACAATCTCACCCTCATCAGATACAGCACCATTGTCTGAGTCTGGCACAAATAGATCTCCTAAATTAAAAATATCATCTAGTATACCACATATATCATGCAAACCGACGTTTCTGAAAGGCACTCGGATTTTTTAAATCAAAGATATCTATATATTTTACACCTATAGGTGTTTTGAGTCGTATACTGATTATTTGTTAAATAATTACCAAATTGGACACCACCAGTTGAATCGGGTGTCGGGGATGCTGGCCTTTCACCATAAAAGTCATCCACACTGCCTTCCTCATGAATTGTGATTTTAGTTTTGGGGACTCGTTCCTGCTGGAGCTCTGCCTGATACCTCAGGTAGGCAGGATAAATAATCTGCAAGTACCAAAGATATCAGAATTTTTCCTAGGAAATACATAAAGAAATACTCAAGGTGAGGTTGACTTCTTGAAAAAAATTGATATAATTCACCTCCTGTTTTCGAAAGTCCGATATCTCTAGTATCCTAATAATACTCCTTATGAAACCTGTACCATCGTTTCCTACGGTCTTTTTATAACAAAGTTAACTTTATTCTTGATCATAATTGAGCCTCGTGATACTGAATAAACAGCAAAATGTTTGAAAAACGTACTTGTTTCACTAGTATTGAGATGACATACCGTCCTGATTGGTCCAAATCGGTAAACAAATATGGCGGTTCAAAATTTTCGAATTTTCTAATAACGCTTCGAATAATATTATTTCAATCTCTGGCATGTTAACCAATATCATAGCTTGTTATTTCACTTAAAGAAAATAAGGGATATGTTAACATCGATTAAAACATCACAACGACATGTTGTATTCAAAAACTAACTGGTGAAAATTTGCGCAAACGAAGGCGGTACGCATTGAGCCCTGTATACACTGCAAATAGCGTTTCAATCGTTTCAATTGTTTCAATCGTTTCAATCAATTCAATTGGTTTCAATGCTTGCATCACTTCCTACGTTTCAATGCTTACGTCATTTTGAACATTGAAAGTTTCGCTGTTTGCGCCTGTTTCGCCGCAGTTTCAAGCATTTAAATCATACGACCAATTCATAAAGAAACGGACGAAATGATTGGAAAGAAAAACGAACATGCACGTTTTTCGTTTGCGCACTGTTTATAGTGTATACAGGGCTTTACACTGGCCGTATGAGAAGAACAACGATCAATATTTCAAACTCTCCAACAATCTTCGAAGACTTTACAATACTGCGATCCTTTTGTGGTATGTTTTCATTGTTGCTAAAGTCTTGAACCCTTTTAATCGTAAATCTGTATTGATTAAGTTACGTCTCAACTGTTTTATGATGTAATTGGTTTCAATGCTTGCATCACTTCCTACGTTGCAATGCAAATTATAAACCCGGAAGAATTTTTTTCAATTTTTTCAAGAAGCTTCCTCACTTTGAGTATTTCTTTATGTATTTCCCAAGAAAAATTCTGCCATCTGTTGCAAGTACAGGATGAGCCAAAAAGGTAAACCAAACAAATACTCAGTCATCAAGCATGGGTTCAAAGTAATATTTGGCACAGTAATTAGCATGTTTTGTAGAATGACCATAAAATCGTGACCATTTGGGAAACCAATGAAACTTGTTTTGACCCCTGCTGTCGACAACATTACAGTGTCTAGAATAAAGAAGAAGAAAACTAATGTATGACTGAGTTATTAACATTTGTTTGGGTTACCTTTTTTGGCTCACCGTCTAAATGTCTAAATGTTGAAGCCAAAAAGAGAAGCTTTGAAAGTAGGAGGGTTATACCCAAGAATCGTTGAACTTTAAACAGTCAGTCGTGTGTACATACCTTTGTTGCCAACTCCAATGTTGAACTGACGATGAATTGAGCTTTTATTCTTAGTTCTTCCTCAGAATCCCTCTCAACAAAATCTTCGAATGATTCACTCTATAGAAACATAAATTTAGTTTGAGTAATCTGGTTAAATATCACTTTGATGGGCTTGGGTTCTTAAAATCATGTTTTTCGCTCTCTGAATATCGTGTGATATACAAGCAGATGCATTTGAATGACAGGGTTCGTACACCTTTTTCAAAATTAATTTCCCTGACAATTCCCTGACATTTCCAGGCAAAAAAGGAAATTTCCAGATCTAATTTTCCTCGCGCGCCCTCTAAAAAGTCTCAAACAACTGTATTATTCAAGACAAAAAGGCTTATTATGAAACATTTGGGGTTTCTCCTTCAGTACCATTTCTCATGACTTAACTACTTGTACAGGCAGTCTTATTCAACAATTTATTTTTGATACATTTTATTTTTAATATTACATATTTTACATTGCATAAGGCCAAAGGTAAACATACATGTACAGGGGCATAGCCAACAAGTATCAAGGAGGTGCATATTTTGGGGTTTGCATCACTGCGAGCGAAGGAAAACCAGAAGGGGGGTACAGGGGTTGACCCCCGGAAATTTTTTTTTACAATTGTATATGGTGCATTCTAAGCATTTCAAACTATAATTTGTTAATGTTTTGTAATGAATCCAAATGACAACTAAAACTTTAAAATTTTGATCTTAGTCCTACTATACTAGAAGAATAGCAACTCACTTGAGGGGCAATTCCCACCTAACGAAACATATTTCTATTGAATACTATCATTGTGAACATTATATGATAGTAATAACCTGGCATTACTATTGTCTTCTCCCTTTTGGGAAAATTACACCAAAACAATTGACACCATATTAGAAATTCCTTCTCAAGTAGCATCACCAGATCACGAAAAGGCTCAGGCCTATGATACCAAATCAAATAATCAGTATTCTGTGTTATCGGGAATCAAATTTCTTTAAATTATCAAAAATTTCATAAAAAATGGTGGCAATTTTGAAGTCAGAGACCATCTTGAATATTTCTTCTTGAGCAGGTCCTTTGTCCCTAAGGCCACATCATACAAAATTTGAGCCAAAGTAAAATGCTGGGTTCATCTTTACAAGAAGAAAAATTTGGACCAAATTCAAAAACTGTTAATAGTACCCCACACACATTTTGGTTGCCTACTTCCATGTGCAAAGGTTTTCAAAATTGGCAAAGCCCCTGAAAGTTGAAAAGACTGACGTACGATCTAACTGTCTAACAGACAGCTTCTTAATATAAATACAATTTTACATTGTAAAGAGCTCCCAGAATTTTTTTGTTTTTCACCTCCCGCCCCCCCCCCCCTCAAATTAACCCCTCATCAAATCATGAAATATATACCAGTAATTAACTTTGAATGGCCTAAGACTAAGCTTACTACATAAAAAAAGCATAATTGTATTAAATCATCTATACATTATTTTTATTGTTTGGTTTCAGTGTAATGTTCACACTGTTCTTACAAATAGACAATACCAGATCTAATGTCATTCAACCAACTCTAATGAAAAGATTTTCAATTTGTGGAAACAACTAGATGATTTTGGATTTCACTTATATCCTGTCATAGCCCTAAAATGTATTTTGCTGGAACATTATTCTTTCGACATTGATACAAAATTCCCTGACACATCTACTGTTTCAAAATTCCCTGACATTTTTGGCCCTTTTTGACCCAATTTTAAAATTCCCTGACATTTCCAGCACCTGGAAAAATAAATCAATTTCCCTGACATTTCCAGGTGTGTACGAACCCTGAATGACATGTTGGTGTAAATTTTGCCACTACAATAACTACCATATTACTGATATTATTGTACTATTTTGAACTTATAATTTACTCCTCGCATCAGCCTCGCGTGTTTCGATTTCGCGGAACTATGGCCGTCGTGTGACTGGCATAACTCATCATTCTGTTGCAATACATTTGCACTCACTTGCAATGCGAATCTACAGGGTGTCCGGAAAGTAAAGATACAAATGCTCTCATTTCAAGAGATTTACCTGTTATGAGATGAAATTGCTACAGATCGTAGAATGACATTATAAGAATATATCCTACAACTGTCATGACTTTTAGTTTCAAAATGAAAAAGTTATGGTTGTTATGGTAACGAGAGTCGAGGGTAAGTGGAGCAACGTCACAACTGTGTTCTACAAATCTCTTTCCTTCTCATGTGATCTTGGCACTCCACCATCTATTCCTATATTATATCAAATTATGTACCACAACAGCATAAGGATTAGTACTTTAACATTATTTGATCGTTTCATATTACTACTATCATTGAATATTCAGTATTTTCCCCATTATCTATACATTCTTGGTGCATCTTGACCGGCGATTCAAAGGCCTGGCAAAACCGCTGCTGTCCATCTCTTAGATTCCTGATAATATTGGCTTCCAGCTGAGTCTCATTTGTATGTTGAACTTCTTACAAATATTGCTTTCAAATGGTCATTAAAAAGGTAGAAGTCTAAAGAGGCTTTATCAGGTGAATATGGGGCATTGTATAGAAAGGTTTAATGTCAAGACACTCAATTGTTAGATTTGTTTTTTGCTTTGTGAATTGGTGCATTGTGGAGATGCAATATTGACTTTCCTACTATAATGGCCAGGGACCATTCTTCTAGGCACTTGTATAATATTTCTTTCATTATACTGGTTAGTGACATAACATAGTTCTGATATGTAGCAATGGCATCATTATATAAAAGAAAACACTGTGGCAGCAATAATACAATGATGAACTAAACAAAACATTGATAGAAAATACAACAAAAAACACTGTTTCAAATGGTTGTCTTTCAGCAATTTTTCACTTTTTAGCGTTGTTCTGGAACTGCTCCGCATACCCCTCGTATCCGTAACCATAACAACCGTAACTTAAACACATTTAGACTATATGTGATGAAAGTTGGTAGATATATTGTAATATTGTTTCTCTACAATCTGTAGCAATTTTATTTCAAAAAACTCAAATTTCTTAAAATAAGAGTATTTGTATCTTTACTTTCCGGACACCCTATATATACAAGTGTATAATTTACTTTTGACCTGCTCAACTGAGTAATACTAACAATGTCTTCTTCTGGTGGAGTGATCTCTTCTTCCTCCTCCTCCTCCTCCTCCACGACTGTTGTCGTAGGTGGGATGAAACCAGAGATATCACCAAAGCCAAGTTGCGCTTGTTTCTAAACATAAACATTAATATTGGAGAGGTTTCGCACAACGGGTTATAGCTAAAACTGAAAACGTATCCGCAATCGCATGTCGAACTGATAAGCATAAATCTGGTGAATGCATTACGAATTTTAAATACGTTGAGCTAAAAACGTTGTGCGAAACATCTCAATTGACACAATGTACAAATGAATATACCTGGACTGGATTGAAACATACACCTGTACATACGAGGGTTGATCATAAAGTTCTCATATAACCCTCTAATTTCTTTATTGTTAGTAGTCTAATAGGCACAGCGAC